CTGCCTGCCTGCCCGCCCGCCTGCCTGACGTCTATATGTGTGTGGTGACTGGTATTGATCGTTAAATGGTCTTCAACATTTGTAATTTATGAGAATATTTTTTTTATCTGAAGTGCAGTCTGTCTTGACTACACTATTAGTCCCGGTTCATACGTCGCATTTCTGCCGTGTGGAATTCAATTAAGAACGAATTAAATTCGACATCTGAAGCGGCTGCTGCATTTCTGCCGCATGTTCGACTGGCCTTGTCGCATTATCCGACAGAAATACAACACCGATTCAAAGACGTCGTATTTCTGCCATGTCGAATCTAATACATACATTATGTTAATGTACTGAGAATGTGTAAATTTGGTCCCGCCAAATAAAAGAAAGAAACTTGGCCATTCTCGTCCCAATGCTACCTGGCAGGAAAGCGCAGAGGCTCGATAATCTCGTTGCTGCTATGCTAGATGCGATCTGCTCAGACGACTTCTTTGCAAGGACAAGTTGCAGTTTTAACTCGTGCCTTTGCTGGACATATTGCAACATATACGGCTGCATTGTTAGTCTTCCCCTCCTTCTTCTCATGCCATCAACTATTTTTCGCAAAATTAAAATCCTTCGTCGCTCAAAATCTTCGTCCGCCAAATTGAATAATCCACGTTTAAAACATTTTCCGCTGAGCGACATACCTAACAGTATTAATTCTGAGTTAAGTGCGTCACAAGTGCGACGTATGAATCGACAGTCGCATTGAATTGATCATGAATTCAACACGGCAGAGGTGCAACGTATGAACCGGGCCCTAAGATTTATTCTCTAATGACTATCGTACAAAACCAATCATTACGGAGTCAATCGCTGCGGCCGCCACTATCTGAAGAAACCCTTCAAATGGGTGGCATCTGATTCGCTGATAGGGAAACATTTTCACCCTGGTTAGCTCAGTTACGCAAAGGAAACCAAAATTACTTGGTTTCTTGGCATGTGTGAAGTTCTTAAGCCTGGGAGACGGTTGCCATTTCTGGTTAATGAATTTTGTCTCCAAAAATCAAAGTTAGCACTCAAAATCGAACTCTGCAAACTAATTTCGAACCTTGTAATTTGAACGTTGTTATTTGCAATTCTAGTGGTGTTCAAAGTTTGAACCCACTGGGCAAGTGATGTGCGCGTAATTCTTAAAAAATGGCTCTATCGACAGACGGATTGTAACTCTACTTTATCTACACAATTTTTGATCCGCTGACATTTAACTTAATATTTTCCATAGGTACCAAGGTGTGTCCGCTGGGTCTCCTAAACGAAGTGCGGCAGCGCGTAATGGAACAAGGGCCACTGCAAAGGCAAACGTTGAGGCTCCTAAATCAAGACTTGATATATCAGGACCCACACTCCAGAGCTCTACCCGAGCAGAGCCTACTGTTACTATAACTCCTAATCCGCTAAGGACATCAAGGTTCTCAGCTGAACCTGTTAAACAAGATCAACCGGCTTCGCAACCTCGAGTAGCTTTAAAGCCTACTTCCTCAAAACCAGCTAAACCTGGAGCACCTGCTGTGAACAGGGAGGAACGTCCTCCAAAGCTTCCACCCGTGACACTTCGAACCCGTGAGTGGCCACCCAAAGGCGACAAAAAGAATTCCTTAAATCGAGCCTCCAGTCCTCCAGTAGTAACGGAACCTGTTAAGCCTTTTAAACCTACTAAGCCTCCTCGACCAGAGAGCCACGCGGGAGTCCTAGATAAAGCACCATTGCCTCCGCCTCCTGCTAAAAAGGCGCCTAGGGAGTGGCCTCCTCCTGACCAGAAAAAGGACGCAAATCCAGGCACAGCTAATGACGCCAAAGCCCCTGGAAGTCAACCGAAAGTTGCACTTAAGCCTGTTCCAAAACCGATTGACAAGAGATTCCCGAAACGACCCTCGGAGGAAAGGCCAACCTCTCTGCCACTCAAACCATCTGATATCAAGAAAGGACTTAACGCGAGTAACGAGCGACCTCTGTCTACTGCAAATGCTAGACTAAAGAAAGCACCTCTTAAACCCCCAGGCCCCATTCCTCCGCGACCTGGGACAAAGCCCGCGTGAGTTGAAATCGTGTACGTGCTGAAGGACCTCCTGAACCGCCATCAATAGGATGGTTTATGGAATAAATTGTTACAGGATTCTCTTCATGATAAGATAATAATTTATCACTGCTTTCGCTCTTAGTGAAAATATCGAAAATTAAATTAAGCTAGGCAAGATAACAAAATTAAAATAATTTAGCTGAATTATGCAATTAATCAAAATGATGTCGAAGTTAATCCAGGTGTTGACAGAATCATCAGAACAGTCACAAAATATTTGCACCAAATATCTAGGTACTTTTGTCAATTCGTTGAGTCATGTTTTATTGTACAGTTTGAAATTTCATATCTTTTGGGCTTAATTTTTTTAGCATTTATAACTTGAACTTACCTCGTGAAAAAAATGTCAAGTGATAAGAAGCGTTTTATTTGTTGTTTTAGTCTCAAGTATGAATTTATTTCTTCACACGCGTAAGGTTAAGTTTTACGCTTAAGTTTAGCTTGTCAGTGATAGTCTCCTTCAAGCTAGTGACAAGAGGCATCCTATGTTTATACTTGAAAGAGTTTGTAATAGCGTAGGAACGTGAACATTGGGTTTTGTCATAGTATAGTATTTTATTTTTCTACGCATTTTGTTTTAGTGTAAATTGTTTCGGATAACTCCGTAACTTGTTAATTGGTTTTCAAAATAACGTCGGATGAACGGCAGGTAAGGCTAATCATAGAATGAACGTTATTTTAAAAATAAAAAACCTTATTTAAATACGTACATACATGTGTTGAACAAGATGTTGGTATCTTGAGAAGTCGCAAGCTTAACTGAGACGCATGAGATCATTGGAAATTTTATCCTGCATGTAAATTATACGTTGATATAATTATAATGACAACAGTGAGCGTTGTAAATTAAAATTATTGCCATCAAACAAGCGGATCATTTTTTCGTCGTCTTACAAACTCCCAGCTATCAAACCGGGATACTTATAATAGTGACGGAGGAGGAGGACTGAGATTTGAAATTTGAAGTCTGAGGACTTCGCTGGGGTTAGAAATTTTCGGGAATCTTTGAGTGTGAAAGATTTATACCAAAATATATAAATCTGAACATTGTGTTTGATATCATTTCAGTCAGAATGCTTTCATGTTACCTTTGCTGATTTATTTCCTAACATCCTAATTTCTATAAATATGCCTTGCCGTTATTCTTAATTTATCCATTTGACAATGATGACGTGGGGTCATCGAAATGTCATGTTGCTTTATTACTTTCGTTGATTTTCTTCCTTAAATGTTTCCGTTGATAGCGATTTCCACTGGACTGGAAAAGGGCGGCTTTTCGTCACATTTGTTTCTTATTTCAAAAAAAGGTCGAATACGTGTTCAGGGTCAGCTTTGTAAAAACCGCAAGAAGCGTTCCGATACCTAGACTCTGCATGACTCTGATCTGGAAGCATCCGTATCTAGCGGAATGGGCCTTTTGCACCCCTCTTTGCTGTAAAAAGGAAATATGGCAGCCTTTCAGTCTTTTGAGCATTAAAATAATTTCCATCTTTATCGCCTTCTTCTCTTCCCTGAGGACTTTCGCACGGTATGATGCAAAGTATCAACTTACTATATAAACAATAGCCCCTGATACGTACACATTAACAACGCAGCTGAATATACACACAACAGCAAGGTGCGACATTCAAATATGCTTCACTTTTTACCATCTTTGGACTATATTGTCCTATATTGTTCGTACATTCAGGAATCTGACCTTCCTCTCGAATAAAATGGCACTCCCCGACTCGAAATAAAAAGTTGTGTTTTTTTTATCTCGATCAAGGTCGAGATTTTTGGTTTTGCGATATATGTAGCGTGGGTTTGTTGAGGCGACAGGAAATTATATTTACAGTGAGTGAAAGTTCAAAATATCACTGAGTGCAACAATATAATTTGGCTTAATGTCTTTTTTAAGAGGACGGTCGTGATCAATTACATAACAAAGAAATTTTGTAGCAGCCATCAAGGGAGGTATTTGGGGTATTCGATCAGTGCACATTAGACTATCATGAATGTCATACTAAAACCTGCGCGAAAAATAACGGTCTCGCCTTTCTCCGACCACCAAAACGAGAAAAAGGCTATAAACGGGTATCCCCAATCATTTGACGTATTTGCATATTGCGTAAGTATCAAATATTCCTTACATTTATTCCGTTCTACTTCCCAAACAGACTTTGAAATTTAGTACAAAAGAAATGCTTATCAAGGGCAAGGTACACAAGCAACTGAAGCTGAGATTTAATACGTTGGTTGCTCAATAATTTGAGAATTTTCATCTCACTCGCAATTTGCAGCGTTAGCGTTTCTTGTTAAAAATAGTGCATGCCAACCATATCTGCATGTCATGTGATACCGCACCCACCACAAGAGCTGTTCGTGTGTATTGTCGCATTCGACCCTGCACCCCAGTCAGAGCTTTGCTCAAGACAATCGAAACTTTATGTAAATGATCGCGTGGGATTCAGGATTCCGGACGTGAATTATTTCCGACGTGTTATCAGTAAATTTTAGTTTGCTACGGAAACCACTTCAATTATTAACCTTTTGAACGTGGGTCCCTGCCAGCCGATGTTGCTTGAGGGCATATTGCTCATAAACCTTTCGTTTCATTCCGTCACGTTTCCTTGTTACCGCGGTTGTTGTAGGTGATCAACAAGACTATCAAGTTCCCAAGATCACTCGCTTCAATCTTTGTTTCCAAGGGACTATATATTTTTTACATATTTTCGTTCTCTGGGGATTTACATTTAGACACGGTCACTTGCCAAAACCATCTAGGCATAAGGCAAATTCAAATGTTCGGGAATTTTTTTTATATAATAGCCTTTCGTGTACTTGCAAGCGAAAAACACTTAAGTACGTACCCGGAAGTATGTATCAGCTTGGAATTGATAAAGGGCATGAACGGCTGACTTAAAAATTTAAAAGGTTTTTAATCTTCTATGCCGTTCAATGTGAAAAATCGGCCGAGAAAAATTCTGAAAATTGCGCAAGACCACGTGACATTTATCTCACTGCCAATTGGTGGTTTTCCCTGGGGAGAGAAATTGAGAGGCAGTATGCGAAACAACAAAACAAAAACATCTTCGGTTTCATCAGTATCGATCAAACGAATGAAAGTGAACGGGCGAGCTCTGATGAGTTGTTCGATAACCACTTCTCTCATGCTGTAGTCTACTTTAAAGGACAAAACGCGTTTAAACTGACCGCACGTTTTCTTGGTATTTTCACAAAGCTTAACAACAAAGACGCTCTCGTGCGCTTTGTCAGATAGCCAAGCTTATGAAAGGACCCGTGAGACTCCTCATACAACTCAACTTGTACCTTATCTCAGAAATTTGGCCGTTCTCGTGGATGTTGGCTATTTACGGAACGAACTTCTCGATCGTCGCCATTGGCATGTTCTACGTTATTGATTTTCGTCGTTTGTTTTGATGCGTCGCGTCGACTCCTCGCCACTCCTTGCTTTGACCAGCTTTCACCATCACGTTTCCGCAGCGCAACGATTTATCTTGGTCCACTAAGAGACGAAACCGGACGTGCTACGTTTTCTGGTAGAAAGAGAGCATTGGTCTGAGGTATGGTAATCTTACAAGGAGCCTTGATTGACGTAAACAGGCATTTTCACACCAAACTGAGAAAGTCGCTTTTCTTGCCAGTTCGCCCGCCATATTAAACGCCATCAGCACGCAGTACGATTTGGAAGAGACGTCACCAAAACAAACCTCAGTATCACTGTTTAGACTTCTCACGGGAATATTCTTTTAAGAAAAAGTTTTCCATTCTTTCTGGTGTAAAGGCTTAACTTCTTTATACCTGTGCGTGCGGACAAAAGCGTCGCCTATCTCGAATACGGTTTATTTAGCTTTGAGCTATTTAACCTTATTGGAGCGCCTTCTAGACAGGGCGGGAGTTTCAAAACAACTATGAACGAAATCGATTATGATCAAGAGCTACCACGTGAGCTCATCAAATGCGTCTTGGTTGGAGACACAGGTGTTGGAAAGACTCGACTAATTTGTGCGCAAGCTGTTGGAGTTGGTATCCCTGCACCACAAGACACCAAGCAACCTCTTCACTTTCCAACAGTGTTTGCCATCGATCAGTACCATGTTTCTCGGGATATAAAGGAGCGAGGCAACTTTCGTGTTGATGGAGTAGACGTAGCCCTGAGGCTCTGGGATACGTTTGGCGACCATGAGTTTAACCGTAAATTTGCCTATCAGCATGCCCATGTAGTAGCACTTTGTTTTGCCATCAACTGCCCTAAGACATTTAAGAATGTCAATGCTGTATGGTATAGTGAAATCAAGAAGTACTGTCCAAGAACCCCAATTGTATTGGTGGGAATGCAGTCTGATTGGCGATTACATGGCAAAGACACTACAGTAAACACCAGCATTAGCTTGTCAAAGCGAATGCGAGAGTGCTCCCTCATTACACCTGATATGGGACGCCAAGTGGCCAAAGAGATTGGTGCAACATACTATGAAACAAGTGTTGTAACTATGTGGGGAGTGCAGCAGGTATTTGAAAATGCAATCCGCTCAGCACTGATCACCAGAAGACAGACCAGGTTTTGGTCTTCACATCTGAGAGGGGTCCAGAAACCACAGCTTCAGCCTCCTTACCTTCCAGAAAAACCTGACGCTCCAAATGTCAGTGTACCATCCTCATTATACAAGGAAAACTTGAAGGGGTTGCTTGATAGTGGGATGTGTGCTGATGTGGAATTTCTTGTTCATGGTCAAACCATCAAGGCTCACAAGGCAATACTGTGTGCAGCAGCACCAACATTTGCCAAACTCTTCTCTTCTGTGGAAGCTAAACTTCGCATTGGTTTTGGCGTTTCACAAAAGTTATTGTTACAAGATGCACTTGTGTTTGGAAAGCCAGGAAGCCTACCCAGAGGTTTTGTGTCCATTGACTCCTTCAACAGTGGCTGGACAAGTGAAGATCACAGCTCTATCATTCAAGTGAAGGTGGATAACTTTGTTTCACACAGAACATTTGTATATATCCTTGAATTTCTGTATAGCGGCAACCTTCCCCTTGAGGCATGCACTGAAGAACTTGAAGAAGCTGCCAGAAATCTTCAGCTCGTTAATCTGGTTGATTATGTTGCTAATGTAATAAGCAATGCAGAGTACATGAACACTGAAGTCCATTCACGGATGGTTCGAGAGATGACTTCGTGTGCTAAGAAGCTGGTGAACTCTCAGATGTTCTCTGATATTGTATTCCAAATTGAAGGCCGGATTGTTGTGGCACACAAGGCATTTTTAGTGGCACAGTGTGAAATGATGGCAGCAATGTTCATGACAGGCCATTTCAAAGAAAGTGGAGTACAAGTGGTAAGACATTGTATAACAGACGTGTTTGAATACAGAAGTCAGCTGGAAGTTTATGTTCGAACTTGCTTTTGACAGGTTTCATTGCCTTCCCCCCACCCCATTTTCTATGCAAGACTTGACTCTTTTTTCACAAAAAGTTGATAATACATGTACCAAATAGGAGAACATTATTTTGCTTTTTGGTTCCTGTCTGTCTCTTGAAAAAGTGTCTGCGCTGAATTGGGAAAGATATTTTCAAATGAATCCATGGAGATGCAGACCTCCAGCTGGTAAATGACATATAAAGAATAAGAGTAAATGAATACATGAGTTAAATAACTTTGTGTTTATTCTCTGTATACATAATGGCGAACTGGGATCATCTTGAACTTGTTAAACTGAGTTTACACAGCTTGAGGTTATATTTTGACACCTGGAGCTAATACTGAACTCTTTTAAATTAAGCAATGTAAAAAAGATGTTGCTGCTCTATTATATATTCAGCCAAAAGCCTTGCAGTGATAAAATAATGTTAATTTTGACCTGGGCATCTTACTTGTCCTTGTTGTGCATTGTGTATTTCTTTTTAGAGCTGAATACATGTATATCACTTGACACATCTTGCTACTTCCTTCCTTTTGTAGGTGGAATTTAAGGACACCAACTTTGATGCATTTTTAAAAGTCCTTGAATACCTCTACACTGGGCAGTGCCCAGTTTTGACTGTGGATGACATCATTGGTGTGCTGGCTCTGGCAAACTTCTTCTGTCTGCCTAGACTTGTTGCTCTTTGTGAAAAGCTCATTGTCAAAGAACTACAGGTTGCTATGGCAGCAGATGAAATGGCTGTTACTGAGGATGTCATTGGTATGGATGTACATTATTGCTTGTTCAAAGTTAACACCTTTGCTGGTTTCCTTAATGTGTAATTTTCTCACCTTTAGCAGTCACTGTTTTTAGCACAGCGACATTAATAAATTTTCCAGACTGGTACACCCAGACATGTGACTCTAATTTAAGAACTGAACTAAATATCAGACTACACAGTTAAGAGACTGTCTGTAATGCTGTTGATTTATACAATTACCAGTAATCAGTTGGAGAGAGTCTGGGTTTGCAACAATCTTCAAATTCCAGCTCAGTTCTGCTCACTGGAAGCTACATATTTCTGTAAACTGAAAGGTTTTTCGAAATTTTTAGAAAATATTTGGAGAATCTTTGGAAATCTTCAGAAAGTGGATGGAAATCTTAAGAAAATTGTCAAAACATTGTTATTTGTTTATATAATAAACAAAATAATACATGGTTGCTTGTAGATATGGAATTCTCCTTCTCATGTTCAAAGCTTTACCTCAATAACTGAACAATTATTGTTCACTGCACTCACTCGTGAGGTATAGAGTTGAACACTCAAAGAGAAATTCCATATCTATGCATGCTCATGTATCATTCTCTATTACAGGTACATGTTAACTGGGTAAAAGCTGCGGTCTGATGTTTGGATCCATGGTCTTCCTCTTGGAAGATATTAGTAATTGTACCTAGTGGAGTACAATTCATAATTGGATTTTGAACTGAGTGGAGTGCAATTTGGTCTGAAATCATACGTGTGATTTCAAAATCGAACGAGCGCACAGCACGAGTTCGATTTGAAATCACAAGTATGATTTCAGACCAAAATTGCACAACACAAAGTTTAATTGCTACTTTATTAGATCCATTTTGAAATCACACAATTTTATCACCTTAAATTTTATATTTTGGTGTATTGTTCCATTAGCTGGTTGGTTGAAAATAGCGGAACCGGAAACGTCTTTACGTCTCATTTAGTATGCAAAACAATGTCATGTGACGAAAACTCATTCAAGCATAAAAAAGAAACAAGCAGTTCTAAAGTCAGAACAAAAACAGTCTACTTCATCCATAAAAGTTCAATTCTCATCGCCTGAATCAATGATGGAAGGCCTTCCTTTCTTCTGTGGCTGAGGCTGAGAATTTTTCGTTGTCTTTAGACAAGGAATTTCAAGGTGCATCCTGTGCAATTCTGCAATGAATTTCTTTTGAGTTGTGAAACTCCCTCAAGTGCATGATGCCCATGCAGTGGATAGTTTTTTTTTTCTTTTAAATACCGTTCAGTGGCACTCTGCATGATTTTCAGGGATTCCAGCTTGTTACCATCTCCGTTTCTTTTTGTGACCTCACCGTAGAACTTAATCAAGACATTCAAGTTCTTGTTGCGCCACTTGATCAGTTTCAAGATATTTTCAAGATGGCGGGACCGGCACCAGCTTCGGAAGACGTTTGTTCATTCACTGTTTTGTGGAGTGGGGCATATTTTGACTATGTTTTTTCACAGCGACAGAGTTGAGATCTTGTGTTGCTTCATTTGAAACTGCCGGAAACCTGGAAGCATCTGCATTCTTAAGATAGCTCTGAATTTGTTGCTGTGTGGTTTTCGTTTGTTTATGTTTTGCTTGACTCGGTATCATACGGATCTAGAGCAGATGTTGAAGAAAAATCACAAAGATATTCGTCAAAATGGACACTGAAAGTTGGAAACTTCCATTAAAGTAGGTCTTCAGCCTGAAGGAGCTCATAATCGTCATTCAAAAACTGTCATTCATTAACTTCGTTAATTGTTTTGGAAAAAACACTACAATAACAACAATTTTTTGGCAATAGTAGTTGCAAAATTCGTCACACAATGGCTTTTTGCCTTTCATTTTGCTGAAATTTTATTGGTTACTTTAAACTAACATTGGAATCTGATTGGTTGTTTTGTTTTACTGTCCCATTCTCATTGGCTGAGAAAAAGATGCGATTTAGAGCAAAAAATAGTGCGATTTGTGAATAAATCGCACCACTGAGAGCCAATCAGATTGCAAGGATAACCAGTGATTTCAAAACGGATTTAATCGCACAAGTAATTCCAGAATCGGATGAGCATGAAGCACAACGCTAATTTGAAATTGCGAGCACAATTACTCCCTGAATTGTACGTCGCAAGGTCCAATTACCAATTAATCGTATTTATAACAAATTTCAAAATTAAAAAAGTCTTAAGAGAACTTCTTTCGAGTGAAAACCTTTGTAGCGCTTGTTCGTGAGTTTTGAAAACTGTAGGAAACATTAAGAAGGAAGCCATTAAAGCACACGTGGGTATCCAATTACAAAAAGTTCAAATTAGATACCTGTAATTGGACACCTACATGATTGCATGCCTACATGATAAATGGTCACATGAAGAACCAATCACAGATGAGAATGTTGTTATAGATACTATTAATAATAAAACCCACTTGATCTACCGGTATGTGAATCTTAAAGTGCCTATGAAGTAAAAAATAGTTGCTGCTGATTTGAAAGGCTTTTGAAAGTAAAGAGGAATGGCATTTTCCTTTTTGGAAGATCTTTTTTCGTTTTAGAGATATTCATGTTTTTGTATTATAAGTGATGATGTCATAGGTGGTTCCACTAAAACAATTCAACACTCAGTCAAGAATATCTCTAGAAATATAAGAGCAGTGTTCTTTAAACTTGGCACCACAAGTGTACATCACAAAAGAAACAAAATGACACCCGTCGTGCCGTCACCATGACAACAGTTATGCCGCTGGTCTTGTTTTAATTAAAACTAACATTACCAGATTTTATCTTAAACAAGGATCATCCACTCCCAACAATCTGATGGGGAGAGTTAAGACAATATGGGAATCATGTGTGTTCCAAGCAAGACCATCTGTCCCTTTTCAAAGGGTTGCAAATTAGCATATTTGTTTCTTCACAGAAAGAGACTGGACCCAGAAGAGTTGCCATGGCAACAACACAGAAGGTGTCATTCTGTTTCTTTAGTGATGCACATTTGTGGTGCCAAATTTGAAGAACACTGCTCCAATATTCCTAGAGATATTCTTGATTCATTGTTTTACTTTTCAAGTGGAACCACCTATGATGTAATCACTTTCCTCATTTGCATAATACAAAAAGGTAAATATCTCTAGAACGAAAAAAGATATTCCAAAAAGGGAAACGCCATTCTTCTTTACTTTGAAAAGCCTTTCAAATAAGCAGCAATTATTTTTTACCTCATAGGCACTTAAAGTTTTCTCAGTAAGAAATGTTGTTTTTCTAGGATATCTTCTTGAGGCTCAGATTCACAATGCCACACAGCTGGAATCCTGGTGCATACACTTCATTGCAACACACTACAATGCTGTCTGCCAACAGTGTCCCAAGCATATCAAGAACTTTGACTCATCGACTCTCAAGTCCATCGAAACGAAGCGTTGGCCGCCACCGTGGTACATTGTCGAGGCTGACTGGTATGAGAAGGCCACAAGAGAGCTTGATAATGAGAAGGTAGCAGAGAAGCTACGCAAGTCACACAAACACATCAGACACAAACGAAAGTGCAGCTGTCTGTGAGAGCCCCTTTATAACAAGGTGAATTAACAGTACTGTTTGCAGTGAAGCAGAATTGCAGCAGTCTGTTTCACTTTATACATTATTAAAATAAGAAACACCAAAATTGTGTATCATTGCAGTGCTAGTTGTTATAACTCGATAAGTTTATTTTTTCCTCTTACGAGCATGTAGTCAGCGCACTATCTCCCTAATGTATTGACCCATCCCAAAGCACCTTGTACTCTGGACCAAGTGGTCCAGGCTTCAGCACTGACTAGGGGTCATTGTTTTGTGTTTGTAACATCTGAAGGCAATTTACCCTTAGTGCTAACAAAACTGTAAGAGCAACTTGACGAAATTCTAGGGGTATCCAGGGAAAGTACATGTCGCTGTACTTCTAGTGGTACTGAAAATGGGAGTATAGACTTTTCCTTACCCTGTACCCTTTGGAAGAGGCATTGTAATGTGTAGTTAATTAGTTTTGGGATTTCAAGAGTGTCAGTAGTGTGTTGGGTTCGTGGAGATCACTTTTCCCTAGCTAATTGCACTCTAAGAAGAATATAAAATTACTGAAGTTTCTGAAGTTTATTTTATACGGGAAGACTCGGGTATGTATTATGAATCATACTTAAGTGTACTAATAAGAGTTATGATTATTGTGGTCAGTATTAAATATCAAATATTAATTAATGAATCACAAAGCAGACCAAACATGAATACCATTAGCATTTGAGAAACAGTTTTGTTTGTACACATACACATAAAAACTTCTCTTAGGTAAACATTACACATGTAAGGTTCACCTCTGGCTTTCCTTTTCAAGAGTTACTTGTTAATTTTGAAGTTGTTTGCATCTCGAATCTGTTATAATTTCTGAAAATTTGTTAAGAGTACATGCATGTGTTGGTTATGATTACAACATAATTGAGAGTTATTGAGATTACTTTTATAACAACATTGTAAGTATAGCATACTTGAAACAACTGCAGATTTATTTATAGGAAGTTTAGTACTACAGTAAAGTTTATATTATTGTATGTCAAAGAGATATTTGTACATGTATGTTTTCTTTTAAGTACGTTTTTCCATTATACAATTTGTTTATGTACAATGTACAGTGATGTCACTATTTTACACTGTTATACATGTACGTATGAAGAAGAGAGATACTGCTGTTATTAAAGTCTCTCTGTCTCTAAATAGCACTTACAGTATTATACAGGAGTTCAATTTATTTGTATTGTTATTGTTCAACTGTTTTTTAATACTAGGCAAAGTTAGATTGCATAACGAACAAGCACTTCATGTTGAATGTAGTGCTGGCTACATGTACATTATTTTACTTTAGAATTAATTGAATTTTGAGGTTTTAGTTGGTTAAGTATTTCAATATTTTTGGTAGTTTACTTACAGCAGAGTGCTTTTGTGTGGCATCAGCTTGTTGTTTGCATTACAAACTACAGACTGTGTTAACTCAAGATGCATTGTAAATACACAGTGCTTCACAATTCCAGCTATTGTCATGCAAAAGAAATGTGACAGGCTTGGGCATTCAATTGTACATGTACAACGATGTATCTCAGCAGATAACAGAACACTGCTTGATCTTGTAAATTTTAACAACCAATGACGAAGTGTCAACAAGCTGACAGTGAATATTTCATGGAAGGTGGTGTTTACATGATACCCTGGTGACTTTCATACCAGTTCCCTTGGGGCTCTGTATTTGTTCACATGGTACCACAACAAAATGTCATAATGGAGTGAGTCATACCAGTGCTAGTGTACCCCTGTTGGCTGTACTGAAGCAGAATTTTTATTCCATTGCGAAAATTCATTCCAGTTTTGTGGTATGACTGTTTGTTTCATATCCTTTCAAGTTTCATCGATTTTACAGCAGTACAAAACTCATCACCATAAAGACAGCTTATGTAAGTATGACTCTTTCATCTCATATGGGAATAAAAATGGTACCAGTATCATGTAAACTCCCCCTACCATAGTGTTGACTTGGGGTAACACTGAGTAACATGCAGCAAGCGTTGTGGTAAATAAAAATAATGTTCCCTCAATTAAGGTACAAACTATTGTTGGCTGTGCCAGGAGTTGAGTCTGAAACATTGCACAGAGTAAGGTTTGGTGAAGTTAGTTTCTCTACCTTCACTTGATGCTGATCTGCCTTGAGAGTCTCAAATTTCACATCATTAAAATTATCCTCGTAAAGTTCTCTTAGCTAATATGTGCTTATAACAGTAAGGTATTTTTGGCTTCCTCTAGAAATCCAAGTTACTTCATTGCAGTAAATTTGAACTGGAAAATTCTAATCTGTCACAAATGTAATAATAATAATAATAATAATAATAATAATAATAATAAATAATAAATAATAAATAATAATAATTCATAATATTTTAAGAGGAGGCCTCCAATCACCATAAGGTGGTTTTCAGGAGGGTCCTCTGAGAAAATAAATGTTAAACCTTTAAAATACATTAAAATCTAAAATACAATAAAAGGGACCAAAAAAAACCAATGCGGTAAGCCAACTAAGATTAAAAACTAAAACAAGAATTAATTTAAGTAAAATCTAGTCTAAAATAAATGACATGTGAGTTAAAATAATTATTGATGAAAAAAGGAAGTTGTTAGATACAGTTTAAGCTAGTTTGGGTACCTTAAATTGGTTTGTCGTTTCTTATATCATGAAATATTAAGACTCTCATGCAAGGCGGCAATGAATGTTGATCATAATGTTGCTCTCTCAATGTAAGTTTCCTGGTACTTTGTTAATGAGAGATTGTAACCCAAATTTGTAGAAAAGTTAGTTTAAACGCATAACTGTTGATTTGTGTTTTATATCATTAGTTTTTCTTCCATTCACTAGTTTAACTGGTATGATACAGAGTCTAAAATGGCTGAAGTATTCAGCTTATTTAACAATGGCAAATAGTGTTAATTAATCCAGAGCAGTGATTGTTTCTAATTTCCAACTGGATGACATACATTCAGTCACGAAAAATCTGGACAGTATTCAAGTGAAGATCATGACTTCAATGTAAAGCATGCTACTATATTTGTTTCTAAACAGCAGTTGCTGATCAGTCAATAGTGGATTTGGAGTTGAAATTGAAACAAATTAGGTTGTAAATCTCTCTGGTTTTTTAAGTATTGCCATTTTTAAGCAGTAATCTTCAGCCCTTTTGACTATAAATGTGTAGATAATTTAGATATACATGTACAAGGGAAGTAACAGAAATAATTGGCTATGAATTTAATTACTATAAGGTCTATTTTCTTAAGTGTTTATTGTTTTTCTTCGTAATTAAGGGAAAGAGAATTTTACTAATATTACTAGGCATGTTGGATCTTCTTTTCTAATGATCATCAGTTTATCACTGTTCAATTAAGAAAAAGTGTTTTGTGGAAACATTTTATAGAGAGATGAGTTACTAATCAATATCTAAAAATCAAATGTGTACTATTATATCAAATTTAAATATTCATGTGTTATTAATATAAGATTTAAACAAATATATATTTAATAAATGTGGTTGATTACCATCTCAGGCTCTATTCACTATTTGCAATGTTTAGGGATGCACAAATCCAAGAGTAAACCACAGGTGACCAAAGCATCCCATAAGGGTTTGTTTGGGCTCTGTTAATAATAGAAGTTTGCAGAGGGAAGGGAAAAGTTTCCAGGCCTGTACCAAGTTTTCAGACGTGGTTGTCTAATAAATAGGGAGCAGTCTCTTTTTTCAATTCTGTCCTGGTGGTTCTTGAAGCAAGAGTAGAGGTAGGAGCAGAGACATTTCTACATCAGACAACAAAAATTAATTTTGGCTGGATGATCAGTTGTCTCACTTTCATGGCAGCCTAGTCACTTAGCAAGTCCTGGCCCAGGTTTTTCTGGTGAAACGAGTGAGGATTGTGAAGAACATTGTTATTACAGAGACACCGAGTGACAACCTGTGGCTCTTTCCCTTAGTTGACTTTTGTCAAGCTTATTAATCTTCTCCTGCATCTTTGCTCCATTTAATAGCTGCCATGTTATGTAACCAAGCCTTGTCAACTGCCCATACCTCACCAGCCTGCCGATATTTAAAGCAAGGCCTATAGAATTAAGAAATGAAAGCTCTTTGGGCTGCCCTGTATCACTTGGTTTAGTGTTGCACTGGACATGTGGCAGCATTTGCCTATCATAAATTTTTAAGCCTGTAATCAATTTTGTTGCTGAAATTGCTGGCATGCTTACGAAAGGACAATAGAAAAGTCAGGGTGGTAACTTTACAGGTTACAAGAACTTTTTGGTCAGTGTTTATGCAAGTATAATTATTTAACAATTTGATTATGAGCTCAAGATTTCTATCGCCCGAGTCAACTATCATGCATAGAAATTGAGAGCAAATAATCTAATTGTTTTAGTATAAAATCTACTAGTCATTCAAAACTTCATCTGAATTCTCTTCACAGACACTTAAAAAATGCAAAGCGGCTGCCAGTTTATCAAAAAGCACTCACTGCTACACTACTATCTGCAACAGAGTATTGAGTAGCGTAGCCAATCAGGGAATGCCATTCATGATAGGACACTAGTTACATATTGATTATATCCGTTTGCTTATTCTCATACAATCATTTTTCTGTCATCAGCTCATTGGAATCTCTAGATTTGTCTGTTGCCAGTAGCACCTATTAAAAAGTCTAATCAGAATAGCTTGACTGAAGTTACCCTGTCATTCCAAAGCCAATTATCCAAACAGCCATCACTTCAACGTTTTAAGCCAGTCATTTGAAATTTATTGTTGTAAAATTGATTAAATTGTGAGCGAGTTGCACGAACTGTGGACCTGCTTACTCAAAATTGGAAATGTGTAGAATCCTTAAACAGGAGTCTTACATTAAAAGGCAAAAAAATCTTTGCACAGGGATCCTACATAAGACATGCAAAGAATTGTTGCACAGGAATGTTAGAATAGGAACATTTACAAAGAATCCTTAGTACATAGGAATGAATGAATTATCACAACTGTCTAGTTCATGATTGTGTAGACTAGTAGAATAACTGTATTTCATTCTGAATTTAGAAAGAAAGAAGAATGCATCATAAATAACTTGATAAACAACGTCCATTACGTTGGCCAAACAATTTAGCTTTATTAAAATTACAAATTGAATTCACAACTCAGTAAATATTTACTCAAACATGCTGTTCCAATAATAAAAGAAACAAGAACTACTTGTATGTTATGGATATATGTTTCAATTCTTACTGGGCTCTGAAGCATAGACAAATAAAAGAAAAGATCATTCACATTGTCGAACACCGCTATTTCGAACTATGAGGGGGAAAGAAAAACAGTTTGAAATAGTGGGGACTCAACACATTAATAACCAGATAAGCATTAAATGAAAATAACAATCAAATGCTAATTAACTAAAGTAATCAACATTTTTTTATTGACCAAAGGTTAGAAGAGAACACCTGAGGACAGTTCCTTACAGTACACAACAATTGTGTACTGTAAGGACCTTATTAAAGTGCAATGAAAAGCCCAAATTGCAGTTTTCCAGCTATGTTCAAACCTGCTCCGATGTCATGATGATGTTCATTTTATGTACAAATGAACGGAGTTGATTTTAGGCCAAGGGAAACAGAAATCAGTTTGAAACAGCGGGGAGTTTGAAATAACTGAATATTTTGAAATAGCCAAATATTGATAGTAAATCACTGAAAAAGCAAGCAGGGTAAATCCAGGGGAAATTGGTTTGAGTTTGGGATAATGGGGGGAATTCAAAATAACCAAGTTCCATTTAGCAGGGTCCACCTATATAATAATTCTCAAATTTGGGCTTTTTCTAGCACTAGCTATATTTTCAAATGATTTTGGTAACCTGACAGTAACAGCATCTAACAATAATTTAAGTGCTACAGTGTCTAAACTAAACAATAGAAAACAATGGGATGAAATTTAACAGTAAACCTTTGTGTTGTAACTATTCCACAGGTCACATAAAATCACACCATTGTAAAAAACAAAACAAAGCACAGCAAAAATGTACGGCCAATGCCCTGGAAAGATCTCACAATTCCTGACACTTGATCTTTTATTCAACAATGGGAACAGCAAATGCACAGTCTTTTTCAATTGCCAGGTTGTAACTTGCCCCTTGTCCACCTTTGTATTCAGAAGTTACAATCCTTAACCAACCCTCCTCTCCCCATGGTACCCCCCAGGAGTTGCGCACAATCCAGTACTCTGTGCCGTTTTCCACGCCCCAGCCGGCAACAGACACTATGTGATTTATCATAGGATCAGGGTTATATTCTGTGTAGATCCCTCCTTCATATTTTTCCAGCGATGGAGTAGCCATGATGCCACAAGCAATAGGACCCCTGGCATATACTTCTGCCATCATCTTTTCACGTCCTTTGACTGAGCCTGAAAAAGCAAGGTTATGTTATTTTGAGTATACAGTAGATGAAAAAACTGTTGAATAGATACAAACCTTCTAAGCATAACAAAATCTGCTGAACTCATGATATTGTGAAGATGATGATACATACAGTTGCTGTAAAAATTATTATCCTTCAAAACATATCATTTCTGCATAAGAATTACTGCATTTAAAAATAATCTAATAATACAATGCAAGGCAACTGAGAATTTTGTTTTACAATCATTTTGCAAAAGAAATTCATCAAACAGTTGTTTCCTGTTTAAAGTCTAGATCATCAATATTCTAATATATAGAATATATATAGATTTAGCTGAGTCTCAAATGATCTCGATGAGCTCTAAACTTGAGCCTGTGATATGGTCACGTGATACTGGTCAGTGGATACCTTGTTTTGAGAGGTGCCAATTGACCATAACATGGTTGTTCAATATCAAAGAAGTATGCTATAAAACAAGGCGGCATGTCTATGTCAACCCATTAGTTGGAGTATGTTGCACGACTCCACCATCGTCGTTGAGCGTATGTGCCCATGAGCAATACCGCTAAGTATGATAACCATGAGAAAATCAATTCACAGGTTTCCTTTTCTTTCCTATATGAGTATGGTACTCTGCCCTGGGCCACCAGAGTTCCCCAATAAATCTCCTTCTCTAAGTTTTATAACACTCATAAATAAATCCAAGATGTGAATGAATTTTTTTTTTAACTCATATCCTCTCAGTATTATAGTATCTTTTTCATATGAAATATTCATTCAATCATGTATTTTCACCACTAGGCTACCCACTCACCAAATTCACTGACTTTCCACGAGGTGTAGTTCTTGATAGGGTGGCATTCCCCAAATGTGGTGCAGGTACCACACTGGTTAAATGGTGTGCACTGTTGGTCTTTGGCTTGATAATTATTGCATGTTTCACTGGGTATACCTGTTTTATGAGCATAGTTATACACTTGCAGCATACCACCACCATGGCAAGTGCCAGCATCGCCTGTTGAAAATCAACCAATTAGGAACATTGTTTAATACTAGCTGTGTCACAAGAGAGACTTCCTAGCTAGGCACAGAAGGAACTACAAAATCCAGAGGTGTCCAAAAGGTGGGAGGCTGCCTAGGGAGGGCACGTGATGGCGATGATCAGTCAAGATGATTGCCTAGGGAGGGCACGTGATGGAGATGATCAATCAAGATGATTGCCTAGGGAGGGCACGTGATGGAGATGATCAATCAAGATGATTGCCTAGGGAGGGTAAGTGATGGAGATGATCAATCAAGATGATTGCCTAGGGAGGGTACGTGATGGAGATGATCAATCAAGATGATTGCCTAGGGAGGGCACGTGATGGAGATGATCAATCAAGATGATTGCCTAGGGAGGGTAAGTGATGGAGATGATTGAAGGATTCCTTGGGTTTTGAAATTTTCAATTCCAGTACTTTTTTTTAGGGTAAGAAAATTTGACAAGTATTTTTTGGGATGGCTCGATTTAAGCAAGGATTTTTTGGGGTATTTATTTATCAACATGAAGTATTATTGAAGTGCCTAGGCCAGTAATTCTACAAATAAAGAACCAAACTTGTTTGAGGGTGGTTTTAATTTTAACCATGGTGCTTTTTTGTGTGTTATATCATTTCATCCTTTCTGGAAAGGCTCAGATTTTGTTAGGGTTAATTTTAAGTCCAGGGATTTTTTTAGTTTTGCCCCCCTTTGACCATCCCTTTCACTTGAAATCCCCTGGGGGGGGGGGGGTAGAGAAAGAGAGTTTGAAGAGGAATTTATTAATTTTTTCATATACACTGTTAAGTCGCTGTAGGAGGTTATCCCTCTCCAAGACTGTATATAAAACCAGGACTAGAGGTGCTCACAATGTTGCTAGTAGTTTCAAAGAACGATACAAATTCATGTGTCTGCTTACCGCAGTCTAAGACGTTCTGTACTGACAAGAGATTACTGGGCCATTTTCCTTTTCTCTGAATGTTGATTCTATCTGACATAGCACTGGTTGTTCCGTGTGCCCAGCATGAGCCACAATATTGAGGAATGTGTTGATTACGTGTCACACTGGCAAAGTTGCCCTTCTCAGGAACATCTCTCCAGTCCCACTGTTTGGGAATATCTTCAACACTCAGGTACTCATGTGGTAGTGGAGATTTACTATTTCACCAGAATTAGTTGTTATCAAAATTAGTATTTTCTTCTCTGTTCAAATAATAATAATAATAAAAACAGGGTGGACCATTTGTGCCTGATTGCTTGTATTAGACTGGTAAAGCAGTGGACTATCAACAGTGCTTTAACCACTCCCACTGCCACCAACTACCTCAATTCTGACAAAACAAGACAATACTTGGCTTGAGCATGTCAAAATGTGATGCTGGTTGCTAGTGCAAGGTCAAATGATGTGAGAGACAGTTGACACATGCAAATTTTTGATAGGGTTGATTAAGCGCTGCAGGAAGTTTCATCATCACAAAGGATCCCCCTTTCAAAATACATGTAGTTTAAAAACACTTCAGGGGCATTGGCATCCAGCCCCCCTCCCCACTTTTGAAGGTCCGATGGCTAAACAGCTCTACCAGTGTGATACAAGGGCCTTTGATTCCACTCCTATTACATAAGCAAAAGATCGACTCCAAAAAATTATGTAAGCATATACGATTTTGTGTAATCATTATGCAAGCTTATGTAAGCACTGGCATCCCAAGCTCCTTTGGAGTCGTGAACATTTTAAAATATATTGCACTCAGTTGCATAACACAGCATAAATATTATTATAAGAATTCTTAGTATGGTTTATAGTTTATGGTACGATCGTTTATAACAGTTCGAAATATTGAGAAGAAATTCAATCAGAACGACTTACTTCGACTCCTTTGAGTGCTACTTGTGTTTCCGTGACACCTTCGGTTCGATTCCAGCGAGTTTTAGTTTCACTGCAGTCATCCACTCAAGACGTCACGGAAGCACAAGTAGCACAAATAAGAGGCGAAGTAAGTCGTTCTGATTGAATTTCTTCTCAATATTTCGAATTGTTATAAACAATCGTTACATTCCCACGCAAACTCTTATATTACGCTGTGTTACGAAGGAGCTCGTTAAACAATACAACTGACTAAAGCGTAACAGAACTTGAACAATTATCAGATTGATTAAGCAAAACGGACCACACATCCTTCGTACTTTCGATAAGATTTTCCAAGGCAAAGCTAATGCTACAGCGTTATTAGCTGAAATACTCACATGACTTCCGCGACGTTTTTGTCAAATTCTGGCTTGTAGCAACCGCCTTTGATGGGATTACCCCTGGGATTGCTGATTGGAAATCTGAAAGCCAAAGACAATCCTAGGAAGCTCAAATACAACAACAGAGACCTCATCTTTGCGCTAGCCGTCGTCTAAGGTCGAAACCAAAGAAAGAATGCTCCAGAGCCGGAAAATTTTGCTTTGTAATGGTTTTTGTTGTCCTCATGAAAGTCACAAGACCGGCACACTGCGGACCACGTGACATTATTCTCGATCCCAGTACGCGCGGTGTAGTGTGATCAGGCGACGTCGATGGAAAAATGAAATTTCCTGCGAACCCCGGGTGCGAACCTCACAATATTCTAAAATCATTTACTTTGTTTCTCTTTATCAAAATCTCGAAACTGAATTTGGAACCAAGAGTTAAATTTGAAATAGGAAATTTTAAAAATTAGCAGAATTTGGTCATTTCACGTTGTTGTTTTGCAGAGGACGGTAAAGAAATGAACATACCATTTGCTTTATTGTGAGCTTAGTTTTTTCATTGTAAAACTGTAACGCGGATACTAAGACAACTCTTTTATTATTCTTCGCGCAAATTTCCGCGAAATACCGCGAAATTTTTTTTTTCCCGAGACCAGCAAGGTCACATGTTTGAGATCACATGACTTTCTTGATCCCAGTACGCAATCAGATGCACACGGTCAATATGGCGGTTCTGGTTTTAGTGGACGACGATGTCATCGATATTTTGCTCGTGCGCAGGACATGGCACCACTTTCAATTACATTTATTGTAACTTGTTAAAAGTGAGGACGGTTGGTAACTTCAGGAACAGCTCAGTTTGACTTTTTTTCTGTTCTGTGGGTGAGTAATGTGAGTGTTGTTCTTCTGACCCATGATATGTCCTGTTTCGCACCCAATCAAGTTCGCACCCACCAAGTTCGCACCCCTGAACTCATTATAAACTTCCTATTTCGAGTTCGCCTTCCCCTTCAATGGATTAAAGAACGAGAAATAAACATGTTTTGTGTGATTTTGGTTCATTAAGCTCACAATGTTCTCCTTTATGAAACACTTAAGCTTACATAAGCCTCGGGGAAGTCAATCGATTAAATTGATAATCGATAATCAGCGATAAAACTTAAGGCTGCCGCACACTAGCCAATTTTTGTCGGTATTTTTGTCGCACACTAGCCGATTTTTTTGTCACTTGTCGGCTAGTGTGCAGTGAATTCAGAAAAGTCTGTGACAAGGTCAGGGCTTGCTGGGCGATATCTGACAGTGGCAGATCTCAAAATGTCTTGTCGGGCCTTGTCAGCTAGTGTGCGGTAGACCAAGACAATTTTTTGGGGCTTGCGCGCATCTCAACCAATAAGGAAATGTCATGAGAGTCACATCAGTGGAATAGGCACCATCTTGATTTTGGATGACTTGGCCCCAAGCCTCAATGCGGTTAGTCGTGACAAAAAATCGACTATTGTGTGGTGAACTGATAGCCCGACAAAGTTTAACCTGATTTGACGCCAACAAAAAATCTGCAGTTCTCTGACAAAAAATCAGCTGGTGTGCAGCAGCCTTCAGTCAATGATATTGAAAATCCATGAAAATCGATTACAGGATTCGTTGTGAGTAATCGATAATAAATTTTTTATTTTTCACTTAGCATCGATAAATATCAAATTTATTGATTCTAACTTATTTTACAATTTATCAAAATGAAACCAACAAAAGATGTAAACAAGATGGCAAAAACCACTTGTAACACCTTCCTTAAAAAAAGATAGTTTACATGTAATAATGATAAAAATTCAATGTACAGAGAAAGGGAATGATATTTACTGTCATCCTGTTCAGTGGAATCCCGATTTTTTGAACCTCCAAGGGAAACAAGAATAGGTTTGAAAAATCGGTTACCAGTACTTCAAGGTTAAAACTTGGTTTCAAAAACCAGCATAGTAACTTGAAGAAGGATTGTTGCAGGCAAGAAGAACAAAATGGCATGGCGTAGTTCTCTAAAGTTTTGTACTGAAATGAAATCATGGATAAAATTGCATAAATACATAATGTGGCCTCTTGCAAATTTAATTCCCCCTGAGAGTGAACTCCTAGAATTAGAGGTGTAGAATTGTGACTCTGAAATTTACTGGTCTATCTTAATTTTATTGTAGTGTACATCTACGAAATCCACATCTAAAACATCACAATCAAACACTGCATCGGTGGATACAGTTTTTAAACTAATGGACAAGGTCAATCGATAAAATCCAATGAAATCGATAAAATCAATAACTTTGAAACTTCGCCAGTGTGTGAGTATTGAGTTTTATCAATTGATCAACGACATTGATAATACTTAAATTCAATTAATTGATTGATATCGATTTATCGAATGGTTTTCTGATATAGATTTTTATTGATTGACTACCCCGGGCATAAGTTTCAATGCAAACACAACAGCGAAGCAACTGAGTGACAACAATGCAGTCAGTTCTCAAAGAAATATACAATGTAATTAAACTCTAAAAAGCTATGGTTTCTCGTCAGGCAGCAGAACACGTATTGTATCATATCACGTCATGTATCATGTCAAGCTAACAAACTTATGAGTCAATTGACATTGTAGTTGCTTGAACAGCTAACACAGTTCGACTACTTTACTCTAGTTTATCTTTCTCCTAGTGTTTGGTGGCGAGTTCTTTGGTGGTGAGGTGACCGGATTCCATTTAAGCACTTGATCGCTAGGTGAGTCAATGTGGGTGCGAACTAGGTGGGTACGAACTCGCTTGGGTGCAAAACCTCCAGCTACCCCTGCAGTAAGTCCCTGAAGTCATGTCCCTAGAGGAATGTTTCTTTTATAAATTAATTCCAACCAGGAAGTTTCTCCAGGAGAGAGGAGTGATGGCGACTGGGCAAAGGCTATTTTAGTTATTTATACAATGAATCCCTGTGAGGGAAGGGGCGCTTGTTCAAAGAAAAAAACCAAGATTAAGAGTTGAGAAGCAATTGAATATATAAAATAACATATCTTTAATGAGCTATTGAGCCAACTGGGAGCTAGTAATTTGTGAGTTCATAACATGCCTGTAAAGGGTGAAGACCAGCAACTGAATGCATGAAGTGACATGTAGTTGAACTATGGAAGAAAGAGCACTGCACTGGTATTACAGAGCAGGAATTCAAACCCTAGCCTGAATTTTTTTTAGGTTTCTGCTTTATTCAGGGAAGGTTTTCTGAACTTGTGAAAGGCTTATTCAATGGGCTATACCGGTATGAGGGTCCACAATGGGGTTCTCAGATCCCGCTTTCCTGCCCATTTTTTCCTGTTAATCCTGCCATCCCGCCCTTTTTAGCCTGGAAATCCCGATCCCGCCCACTTTACAAAGATGTTTCTGCATTAATTATTAATTTGTTACATTAATAATTAGTTTAATCATTACCACAGAAACTTTTTAAAAATAGATATTGCATAAAATATCAAAAAAGAATTCAATGGGTAGCAGATAAGTAAGCACAAGTGATTCTGATGTTTCTTTCCGAATGAAGGCATTCCTGCTCAAACATCCTTTTCGTAATATATGGTGACAGAATTCGTAATGTCACGTACTTCGCTCGGTAGATCACTATCACCGCCATTTGGTGAGGCCATCCTGGCCAAAACAAGCCATGCACCCTGGAAAAGGTCGAAAGACTAGAAAAAGTAGAAAGGATCGGGGGGATTATAGATGCAAACATGTCGGTATGGACAGATGCCATTGATGTCAGAGGTCAGCATTACAAATGATAGCGTGCGTAGCTTGGCGGTTTAAGCAATGTTTTAATGCGGCTTTGGTACTTGTTATTGCGGCTTTGCTGCTTTCTTAGCATGCTCAAATTGCTTAAAAACCGCCAAGCCATGCAGGCTACACAAATGATGGCAATAGGACTCAAAGACCTCATACAGTCTCATGATACTAACGTTATCAAGCGATAATCGATACCTGACAGGGTACAGAGCCGTTGCTATTCATTACTTGAAACCTGACACAGCTATACCCACAAAAGGTTCGTTTCTGCATGCCAGCTTGTGGTTTTTGGACTGGTAAATAACAATTTATGAGGTCACGTAGGAATTGGAATCCTGTATCCTGCTCTGTTCCCCTTATGAATCCCGCATCCCAACCTGATAAAAACATGAAATCCCGCTCCCTCTTGTAATTGTAACTCCCACTTCCCACCCCTGTTTTCAGCTCAAATCCCAAATATCACGGCGAAAAAAAGCCAAATCCCACATCCCGCCAAACCTATTGGGGACCCTCTGGTATCTACATGTACTGTTGTTTGGGTCAACAAAAGAGACATGCTTGCAGGTGCAAGTCACCAATTTTCCACAATAAGCAATTTACGCCTGAGGCCTAATCAGGTTTTGAAACAATTTTCAGTTGAAAGCAACAATTAGCAAACCACTGAAAGTGTCAATAATAAATACATGACCACCTTGCTATCTAGTTCTGTTCTAATATTACTAACATGCCAAATCTATTCCTATTTCAGATTTCAGCCAACTTATGATGAAGATACAAAATTTTTGCTTGACTTTCCATAAAGCAAGTGCTAAAATATTGACTTATTGAGAACTGCAACCACAGCTGCTATTATTCTGGGAAGCTGAAATAACAACAATGAAGTGTATTCTAATCATAAGCTCACTCCCTGACATTATTTTCATCCATGCTGATAAAGCATTTATCAAACACATCAACAAGATTTCACTCAAGGCCGGCTTTATTGGTGAAGACCACAATGAAGATCAGATGGATATGACTGCTCTATCTCAAATCTTTTCTCCAATGATCACATCACTAACATACATGAATGATTTGGGAAACCCCTATTCATCAATTCTGTGTGAAGATGGTACTTTGTTTGTGTTCAGTCAGGTTTGTATTTTAGGTTGTGCATTGATTCCACATCATAAATTTTGCTTTATGGTAGGGGGAGTGTTTAATAGTGAATTGAAAATACATCTATACAGCTAGGGTGGCAAACATGGTGCATTGGTGAGAGCCCACCTCCCATTTAATGTGTGGCCTGGGCTCAAATCCTGTATTCAGTGTCACATGTACATTATGTACAGCTGTTTGGTATACATGTATTTGTTGGTTTTTGTCCTTGCTCTGAGGGTTTTACTGCAGTTTCTCCATCACACCCACACAAAAACTAAAATTTCTAATTAAATGCATTAGTTATTTCCAATTTGATCAGAATCTGAGTACCACACATTTTTAGGGTTTAAATGACTCTATATTGATATGTTTATGTTAGAATGTCTCATTCATTAATTTACTTTTTTAACCCTCTAGTTTGATGACCTGGTTTTCACAGCTGTAAATGGTGATGGTGAAGAGTCGGAAGAGTTCCTCAAAAGGAAACTATCTGTTGTGTACAGGCTTTCCACACTACATTATGGGGCCTCCCTTGAGCTACTCAAGCCAGAAATTTTGTCTGCACAGAAAAAGGCATGGAAAACATTAGGTGGATTGATTGACACTTGGGGATTTCTAGCATCACAGCAACAAAGCTTCTTAGTTGAGGCCGTTGAGCGTATTCATGTCAATCTGAGTCTTAGTGAAATGAGCATTAGATTGCTGGAGACCGCACTAGGAATGGCCAAGAACAGTGGTGAACAGAATGCAGTTCATGCATTGTTACTGGTTAACACAAAGCTTCTTGCTCTATTTTCCAGGTATGATAAAATATTAGTTTGAGTAGCATGACATAATATGTTAGGCATGGTGGCTTCCAAAAGCTGGACTCACCTGGCCTGGGTTGTTCAAAAGGTGGATAATGCTATCCACCGGATAAATCACTATCCAGCGGATAGAGTGGTTTGTTTTGTTGACACTTGCCCAATGAATAGTAATAAACTAATGGACCTTGTGTTGTTCAATTTAGCAAGTAATCAGGCTTGTAACGTATTTCAAGACGGCCTTTCACTTGGCACTAGTCTGATTTTGATATTACTCACCCTTTTACTTCCTTAATTGTACTCCATAATGTCCAATTACTATGACAAATTTTAGAAGAAATGTTTGGGACTCACTGTCAGGCCGTTATCCACTAATTATTATATGGCTTTGGCTTGTGGTCAATATAACGCGTGTTCTGATTGGCTAAGAACGAGATCTGAACGGTCATTATGCAGCCGTAATGCCCACGGGCCGATTACGGATTATGCAAATTAGGAAGAGCGCGGCTCTGAAAATTCAAGCGCATTGAAACGATGAAAGCCGATTAAAAACAGTAAGAGAAAGTAAATTTAATCCGAGTTGCTGAAAGTTTAGAGATTTTTCCTTAACAAAATTTATATGGAAGTCGTTTTTGACTTACCAACCGGAACCTTGGCGGGAACTGGTGAAAAACAATCGAAGTTTACCGAGTCTGGTAAAGCTAAAATCGCTAAGTGAAAAACACCATCAGCAGATCTGTCATGCATCCTGAGCAGAACA